AAAAAAAAAAAAAGACCAGGTTTGCTGGTCTGATAGAGTCTAGTGAATCCCTTGAGATTATGGCCCCTAGCTGCCCTTCAGGTCTGGGATTGAATTCAGTCCTATGGCTTCCAGCCAAATAATAGACAGACGTATGGAGTGAACATTTACATCAGATAGATATACTACTTGGAGTGATCAGTCATGGGAGAACAGAAGGGCAGTGTTTGCACCAGGAGACAGCTTGGGGTGGGGGGGGGCAGGAGTGCATGGAAAGAAAGGACACAAGGGAGAGGTAACTATGGGAAGAAGTGGGAAAAGAGCTGTTGCATTGTGGGGGATTGCAGTCAATGTCATGAGATAAAGTGTTATTAACTGCTGTATGAAAAATGAATTTGCTTTGTCAACTTTCACCCAAATTACAATTTAAAAAAAAAAGATTACAACCTTGGAAACCCTATGCGGCAGTTCTTCTCTGTCCTATAGGGTCACTATGAGTTGGAACTGATGTGAGGACCACGGGTTTGGTGTTTTGGTACTCTATGCCAACCTTCACTTAGGCTCTGGGGATGCAGCCATGAATGAAACAGACTGGGTCCTCCGACCTTACAGTGATGGAGAGCAGATGTCATCATGCACACACTGAATAAATCCCTGACGTGTCACGTGTTCTCCAGAGGCCTGGCCTCCCTGTCTCTCTGTGGCTTAGGCTTCCTTCTCCCCAGAGCTTGATGCTCTCCCAGAGGTGACAGTGCCTGGGGTCCACCCAGCTACCCTGGGCTGGTCCTGCACTCTGATGAGCCGCACATGATGCATCAGTGCCTCCTCAAAAGCCCGGCTGCTGGGAGGGCTTCTGGGCTTAATGGTCCATCAGCTCCAGCCCCACCACCCCCAGTCTTCAGAAGAGGACACAGAAGGCAGTTCAAGAAACAGCAATGAGGTATCTCTGGGGTAGATGATGGCCTGTGGCCCCAGAATAGGCAGCTTTGGTGAGGATTCCTGTCTTAGTTCTCTAGTGCTGCAATTACACTATGGAATAACACTATGCAATAACGAATGGATGGCTTTAACAAACAGGGATTGATTGTTTTACAGTTTAGGAGGCTAGAATTCTGAATTCAGAGAACTGGCCTTAGGGGCTGGATGATGGCCCCTGGACCTTGGGCTTCAACTCTGCCTCTTGTTCCAGGCCCACTGGAGCTGGAGGTTTCTGACTCATGCAGCTACTGGCTGCTGAAGCTGACAAACCCAAGGTCAGCAGGTAAAATGGCACAATCCCAAGATGAGCAGGCAACATGGCAGGCCACTGGTTCAAGTCCAGGAACTGGAAATGAAGACGGGCAAATGCAGGATCCAAAATGTGCCAAAAACCTAGAGACCTTTCCCAAAGCTTTTCTATATATACCAGAAGCAGGCTACACACTCAAAGGTAACTGCCCTTCAACTACTTATCTGTTCACAGCAGATGACACCATGGAGGTGGTTACAATCTCAACGTGGGGAATAACTACACTACACCCATCTCCCCAGCCACTCAAAACCTCAGCACAGCCAAGCTGACACACAACCTTAGCTACCACAGTCCTCAAGTAAATCCCAGAAAGGGATATCCCTCCAACCCGTCCCCACCACAGGGAAACTGGCCTTGAAGTCCTGCTGGCCACTAGTGCCCTATGACTGCAAATACACAAATAAGTTTGTTCTTATCCCTGAGGAGCAAGCCTGGTGCTCAGAAATGAACAGAGTACAGATCTCAGAGCTGACATCATCTGTGGGCTCCCAGCTGCCTGTGGGAGCTGCTGGCCATACTGTCCTAATTGGACTGGGAATTGAGAGCTGCCCCCTGAGATGGTAAAAGAAGGTAGAAGTTGGGAAAGAATGGGCAGAGGGAAAGGGCAGCTGGGGGACACTGTGGGGAGCCCTTGCTGAGCTAGGCTCCTATTGGAGCTATTCTACTGAATACATCACTATTCTACTGAAGTGGTGAAGGGCAGAGGAGTTGGGATCAGGTCTTGGGCATTGGGCCAGGCTTCCCTCCTGTAGGGCCTCTCACTGCTGAGCAGTCCGGGCAGGCAGAGCTCACTGCACAGCTTGGAGGCTCCACCAAAAAAGGTCCATGCAATGGCTGAAGCCCGTGCTTAAGTATGGAGGCCTGTGCCCCTCTGCCAGTCATGTTTCTGCCCTCCCTGGCTGCCCCAGCCTGCAGGGAACAGACACTCTGGGAAAGGGACAGCCATAGGCTGGAGGTCCAGGGGTGCTGGAAACTTCAGAGGGTACGCAACCAGGATCTCCTACATAGATCCCCTTCCAAAGCAGGCCAGAGCTTCACTTACTTGCTCTGCTGATGGCAAAAATGGCCACCATTTCTTGATCGCCCACTGCATCCCTGGGCCATGCCATGCACTTTACAGGCAAGGTATCACTCAGTCCTCAGAACAGTCTTTGAGGGGTAGGTACTGTTACTCTCCCCATTTTACAGCTCAGAGAGGTCAGGCCACAGGCCCAAGGTCGCACTGGATGCAAGAGACAGTAACCAAACTTGAGCCCCCTTTAATCAATCACTGCTCCAACTGGCCTCACTGGCCAGTAGTAAACACCCCCTCTCACCATCCCCCAAAGGCTCTCATTCCTCTATCGTCACCCAAGGTTCCTACCGTTCACAAGAGCCAGCCCTTCAAACAAACCACACTTGCTGAGGGAATGATGAACTTCCCCTTGTCTCTTCACCAGACTTTGAGGACAAACCAAAGCCAAGTACTAGGAGAACAGGTTCAATGAGGACCTGGTTGCTGTCTCAGAAGTCCACGCTGTTCCAGTAACCACCTGGGCTGGTGGTGGAGAACCAGAGGAACACGTGGCCAGAGGTGAGATGGAGGTAAGGGACAAAGATGGAGGGGAAGAGCCTGGTTGAGGCACACAGCTGCCAACCAGGGCATCTGGCCAGCAGACACCTCCCACTCTCACTCTCCCCTACCCCGCAGGCTGCTACCACCCGGCCTAAAGTTACCAAAGCAGAACAGGCCTTGGTTTGCCCAGTGTTAGCACTGAGCAGATGCACACATGCACCAAGTTGTGTGAAAAACTAAACCAGCCCCTGGACAGAGACGTGCTAGGTCCTAGGGCCCCAGCACAGGACCCTCTGATGTAAAGTATCAATTTCTTACCATACTGCTCCCCTAACCCTGCTTTGAGTGACAGAATGGTGGGGCTACATCACCAAATGGTTAGCCAGATGGTCTGAGGCCTCTGGAGAGGGACTTCTTGGCCTGGGGCCAAGTAATTGCTTCTTCTGCTCCTGGGTGGCTTGGGGAAGGCCCCACACCTCTCTGACCTCCATCTTCTGATTGTACAAAAGGAATGGATGGTAATTTCTAGGGTTTAATATTCCCCCACATCTCTTATTCCACATGGGTGAAAGAGAGGCTAGCCCAGAGACCAAAAGAGTGCCCCTGAGAGCCTCGCATCCTGGTCTCAGACATGGTGAGGGACATTCAGGCTTATGTGATGTTGTCTGCCTTGGACGGGGAGGCTGGTCAGCAGTGCACAGCCCAGCTAGGAAAAAGGCAGGGTCCCTTTAAGCCTAGACTCATGCCCCCTGCTTGTTGCTATGTATAGAGTCAACTTCCTTAGCAACCACCTGGCCTTTCAAAGGCAGCCTCTAGCCCTCTAGCCCTGGTGCTACCAGCCATGGCTCCCAAAAAGCAAGCAAGCAAGGGGGGCAAGGAGCTGGAGATCAAGAAGAAGAAAGGGGGCAAGAAGGACCCCAACACAGCCAACACGGAAACAGATTTCAACAAGGAGACCCGGGAGTTCTACCATATCCAGATCCGAGACCTGGAGGAGAGGCTGGCCCGGTGGGTGGTGGGTGAATGGGCAGAGAAGGGAAGCTGGTCCATCCTCAGAGGTGACTGCTGTACTTTGGCCAGGAGTCCCTAGGCCTATGTTCTCACTTGGGCTCTGTCACTCACTTTCCATGTGATGCCCAGGCTCCCCCCTACCCACAGCCTCCATTTCCCCATAGGTAACATCGGGAGGATTTGAGATTTTGAGGGACAAGAGATTTCTCATCCCATCTCCGTTCCCCGAGTCTTGGGATCCTATCCTAACTAGCACCCCCACTACAGGCCAGCATCCGCTCCCTCTGCCTTGCTCCTGCCCCTGGGATAATGCACTTTATATGCACAGACTGTCTTCGAGTCGGATCTGACTCATCGAAATCCCTCCTTGGGTTTCCGAGGCAGTATCACTGTGGAAGTAGATTGCCCAACCTTCCTTCTGAGGAGTGGCTGGTGGGTTTGAACCGCCAGACTTCTGGTTAGCAGTCAGTTGCCTTAGGCATTACGCTACCAGAGCTCCTAAGCACTTTATGAAAGTGCAGAATTTAATCAGTGAGATGTATCGGCTGGAGGGTGGACCTGTGTCCCTCCTTCCACATCCTGGACCACAGTGCCCCCGCTGTGATTTCCTGGCCCACTTCCAGTGGCTGCCTGCCCCACTGAACTGACACAGTTGTTGAGCCCAATTTCTCTCTAAATGGAAATGAGGAGGGTGGGTCCCCTTTCTACCACTTGTGATGTTTTCTCCTAGGAAGTGTTATGTGTGACAGGGGTGGTAGTGTTTGGGGAAGCCCTCTGACTCTTCATTCAGAGATAGGTTAACTTGTCCATCATTTTGCTTCCTTATTTTAAAAGTTTCCTCCCAATGAGAGGAAACCCCTTTCCTGACAAACAGACAACAATTATTCCCCACATGATGTCCCACATAATCATCGCTAGTATCACTGAGCCTCTTATGAGCCAGGTGGGCCCTGTGCTGGCGCTCACTGCATCCTCATGTCACTCCCACTAGAGGTCCTGATGTCATCCCCATTGCACAGGGGGGAGGACTGAGGTCAGCATGGGGAGGTCACCCCCAGGAAGTGACTTCATGGCTCCAGAATGGGAGCACTACCTCCCTGACTCCCCCAGGCTAGGCTGCTTCCTAAATGAGCTGAGCAGCAGGCTATGTCCGCACTGCACAAAGTAGGTCATTCACCTCCCTACTCCCACAGTGCCCTGCAAGCAGTAGCCATGAATAAATTATAACTCTTGCAAGTAACTTCCATCAATGATTGCATTGAAAACTGGTAAATTGATTATGTGATGCTCTTCCAAATTACAAGCTTCCCTTGCATGGAGACACCAGTTGGAACATATTTGGGGAAAATGCATTTGGTAGACAGTTATTGAGTGCTTACTATTTGCCAAGCCCTCACCTGAAAATAGAAGTAGAGGAGGTACATGTCTGCCAAGTGAAGGAAACAAACACATTAGATTCCAGTGGAACAGAGCCATTCTAGAAAAAAAAGCATTAAAGAGAGGGCCACAAATGTGGGAACACCAGGTTCATTCAATGGACAAGGGTCAGAAAAGTTTGCAGCAGAGGAAACCAGAGGTGCAAAGACTTGGAAAGGGGAAGCGCCACAGTGTTAGAGAGTGGTACAATGAGGGCTGATGGTGGCAGTCTGTATTGTGATGAACAGTTTTGGCTTTGGGATCAGACTGACTTGGGGTCAAATTTTGTTTTGCCACTGACTAACTATGGGTTCTCTTAGCCTCAGCCTCTTCACGTCTCTGAGCCTCAGTCTCCTTGTCTGTAAAAGGAGCATTAAGTATCATAGTACCTGCTCCCTAATGGGTTGTTGTGAGGACTCAACAAATACACATTGAGTAACTACTATGTACCAAGCAGTGTCCTAGGTGTAGGGACACTTCTGTGAACATAAAACACAAAGGCTCTGTCCTCAAGGAGTTTATATTTCTAGTGATGGAATGAATGAAAATTGCTTAGCACGGCAGCTAGCATAGTGTTGGCTATTTCAGAGAGCATGATGGGAGATGAGGCTGGGTTCCGATGGGGAGGAGCTTCCAGTGCTTCGTTGGAGGGTGCGGGGGGCGGGTGTCCAGGAGAGTGGGCTCAGATGTACTGGAAGCCTGGTTTGCCTAGCCCAACCCGGGGGACCACCACCTCAGCACAGACCCCAGGACCTGTGCCCCACCCATCCCAGGTACGAGGGGAAGTTGGATGAGTTATCTGTGCAGGAGAAGCTGTCCCGCCAGGAATATGAGCAGCTGGCTAACAGCAAGAAGGAGATCGTGGCCTTCCTTAAACGCACACTCAACCAGCGGGTAGATGAGATCACCGACCTCAATGAGCAGCTCCAAAGCCTACAGCTGGCCAAGGAGATGGAGAAGGACACATTTGAGGCACAGCTAGCCCAAGTGCGCCACGAGTTCCAGGAGACCAAGGACCAACTCACCACGGAGAACATCGTCCTGGGTGAGGGGGATCTGGCAGGCCAGCCTGTGGGTGGGCACACACCACAGCACAGGGAATTCGGGCTCTGGCTCTTTGGACTCCAATTCCAGCCCTACCACTGACTATCTTTGTGGACTTGGGCAAGTACTTCCCTCTGACCCTCAGTTTTCTCACTTGGGAAATGGGAATAATACTCCTTTGAGTAACAACAGCTATGTGCTGCTTTGCACATGTAATTGTCCTAGCAATCCTGCAAGGCAGGAAATACTATCACCCCATTTGTAGATGAAGAAGCACCTCAAAAAAGTGAAGGGTCTTGCCCAAAGTCACCTAGCTGGCAGGGGTTATTGTGAGGCTCACTGATGAGTGCCTGGCCCAGAGGTGTTTAAGTGCTTTCATGAGAGTGAGCACTGCCGAGGGAGGCTTCTTGGAATAGACAAACCTGAATGAAGCTTAGTAAGATTAGTGGAGGGGGCATTCAAGGTAAAGGTGGGCAAAGGTATGGGGCAGGACAAGGCTCCAGCCCCACTGGATCGGGATGCGTAGGGAAGACAGGAGGAACTAGAAAGTACAGGGCCGAGACCTGAAGGGCACCCTGTGGTGGGCAGGGGGAAAGCTGGCAGCCCTGGAGGAGTTCCAGCAGCAGAAAGAAGAGCTCACAGAGAAGTGCATGATGCTGGAAAACCAGCTGCGGAAGCAGGAGAGCAACTACAAGGACCATGTGTACAACCTGGAGAGGAAGTCAGCACTGGATAAGGACAGGTGGGCAGGCCAGGTGCTGGGCCAGCATCCTGCAGGGCCTTTGTCACTGCAGCCAAGCACATCCCAGACTCAGCCTCTAATGGTGGTGCTGGGGGAGTGGGGGATGCACTATATCATTGACTTTGCAACCTGGCTGACTTCCCCCCAGAATCCTGACTGGTGATGTGTGGAGTAGGAAGAAAATTAATATGCTCCCCAGCCTCCCACTGGCATTGGAGAACCCCTGGACTTAGTTTTGCCACTTTGTGTGATTTCAGTCATATTTAATGGATAATACATTGCTGTGGTTCAAAATCCAAAAGGTACTAAAGGCTCCACAGCGAAATGACTGCCAGTGACCCTGCCTCCTCTAGTGACCCTGCCTGCTGGGTGCTCTGGGGCTGGCACAGGAGGTGAGAGGTATGGGGGGCCTGTGCCCACCCTGCCCAGTAGCCTCTCACTCCTGCTCACCCCAACCAGACTAAAGAATGAGATCATCCAGCGTGTGAATCTGGTAGCCAATGAGTTCCGCAAGATGGCCAGAAGCCAGACCTGGGAGACCACCAAGCGGACCATCCAGGAGAACCACAGCATGTCCCTGCAGCTGGCCAAGCTGTCCCGGCACGGTGTGCAGCTGCTGCAGGAGAGGGAAGAGCTCCAGGGCAGCCAGGACAAGCTGTGCAAGCAGGTGGCGCTGCTGGAGGACACCCAGAAGAGCATGGCCAGGCACAGCGTAACTCACCAGAAGGTGCGTCCGCCCGGCCCTTGTCAGGGTTGGGCACATGAGGAGGAGGGAACCACAGGGGCCCTGCCCTACTGGTAGAAAGGACCAGCCTGGCAGATGTATGGGGAAAGGTCCTCCCTGTGGGAGGTGCAGGATGCTGGCCCCAGCTTAAGATTTTCTTCATTTGCTTTAGAGCCCCCATAATTTTTTGGAGTGGAGCCCACTCCTAAGAAGCTTATGGCTCTGCCTAGCGGTGGTGCTGAGCACCTAGCTGGTTATTCCTCTCCTGGGGCCTCAGCTGGACTCCATCTCATGGGGCAAGGAGCTCTGACGGGGTCTGGAGCTGGGAAAGCGGGACCCACCTGAAGGCACCTGCTGCTCCCACAGATCATCCTCATGCTGACTGAGAAGTGCCACCAGCAGCAGCAGAGCACAGCGGAGGTGAAGCAGCTGCGCCAGCTACTGGGCCACCTGGAGGAGAAGTTCCAGCAGCTGCAGAAAGACAACCAGGAACTGAGGTGGGGCCCGTGGAGGCAGGAGGGGCAGCGACCTTCAGCCCAGTCCCTTGTTTGCCACATGACATGGTCAGTGACTTTTCGTCTTAAGAGGGGACAGGTTGAGACCTGGGGCTGGATGTCTACCCCTGTGGGCTGCTGACTAGCGCATCCTGGACCCAGGAGCCAGACAGAACAACTCAATGTGCAGTTGGAGCAGCAGCAGGCCAAGGTGCAGCAGCTGGAGAAGGAGCTAACCGAAGAGCAGAAGGTTCGGACCCATCTAGAGATGACCCTGACCCAGGCTACCTCCTTCCTCCAGGACATTCTGCAGGTGAGCAGGAAGTGGTGACAGAAAGTGGCTGTTCAGGGGCAGAAGGTGCTGAGAGAGTAACTTGGGAGCTCTGGCAGGACGTTGGGCCAGGGTCAGAGGCTCCCTCTTCCTCTGAGAGACGCCTGTCAAGTCCATCCTCTTCTGTTTCTAGACGAACCTTTCAGCGTTTCCAGATAGATGGGTTGTTCTCGAGGGCCTCAGTCTTCCCATTCAAAGGATGGGCATCACACCACAGCCACAGAACACCCTGAGAAAATGGGCACTGGGTTGGGGTTTCCAGGAGTGGGGGTCAGGGTCACCATGGGCCCATCCCCACAGGCTCACCCCAGGTCCTCCTGGCAGATGCACTCAGAAGAACAGGAGGATGGGGACTCTGATGTGGTCTTCCAGCTGCGATGCACAGAGACGCTGCAGCAGTTGCTGGCCATGCTCAGCTCAGCCCTATCCCTGAACCCAGAGGCGGCTGTGTCCCAACAGTCGGAGGCCCACCCCCAAGGCCCACACAAGGACAGGTGAGAAGGCGGCCTTGGAGAAGGTAGTCATGGGGAGCAGGGCAAAGGGAAGTAACCATGGGACATGTCCGGGGGCAGTCCTCAGCCAACTGTGGGCCAGAGGCCTACTCTCCCTAAGCCCCTCTGGGCCTAAGCCTCTTCATCTGTGAAATGGAGGTGATGACCCCAGCCTCCTCCTTACAGCCTGCCCAGTACCCAACTGCCTAAGATGGGCCCTGTGCTGCAGCAGCTGTCTGCAATCAGACCCTACCAGCCGGGGGACCTGGGCCTGGTACCGCGCCGGGCACACATCCCACCCAACCCGCAGGACCTCAGGCTGCTCTCACATGCCACCCGTGTGGGAAGCCTCCAGCCATACTGCAGCCCTAAGGTAAGGGGGCCGGGGCCCGAGGGGCAGCAAGTGGCTGCCAGCCCTGGGTGTGAATCAGGGCTCTAACACACTGCAGCTATGTGACCTTGGGGATGTGGCTGGACTGCTCTGAACCTCCATTTCCCCGTCCTTAAAATGGACTGAGGAAAGCTGTGGCAAAGCCTCAGTCAACCACCAAGCCATCCTCAGGCATCCCCTGGGAGAGGGCCTGCTGGACCTTGTCATCCCCTCCTCCACAGGCCCGGGAAGGGTGGGAGACCTTGAAGAGGTCTCAGCTTCTAAACTTCCATCTTTAATCTTACAGGTCCATGGCTTCGGTTCTCCAAAAAGGCTCAGACAGTTCAGTCTTCCTAAAGTTTGTCACCAATAGGAAACTGAGAGAAGATTAACCCTTTACCCCAGAAATGGACCATTCTGCCCACAGTCCCCACTTTATTCCATAGGCTGCCTGGGCAGTCCAGAGAAAAAGAGCTGTATAAAGCATGGATACTGTAGGTTGGTGTGGTGGCTCTGTGGGCATAGCTGAGTACAACAGCTAGGCACTAAAGTCAGGCTGGCAGCCATGTCCACGGCTTCAGGCGTCCAGCATGGGCTGCCCCTGGCTTCGCTCACGGATGTGGTCCAGGAGCAAGTCGGTGGCGCGTTCCAGCAGCAGAGGCAGCAGCTCCTGCTCAGCTGGGGAGAAGCAGCCTAGCACGTGAGCGTGCACTGCGTCAGGGTGTGCGGGGCGCCCGATGCCCACCCGCAGCCGTGGCATTGCCTGAGGGGAAGGCAGAGGAAGCTTAGGTGAACTCATAGTCATAGTACTGGGGGACCCATGCATACCCACGAGCCCCAGTGCACGACAGAGGGGGTCAGACTTACACTGGAGTTGAGACAGCTAATGCAGGAACGGACGCCATTGTGGCCCCTTCAAGAGACAGGGGAAGGGCAATTAGTGCCTCCCTGGGGTCAGTGCCTCTCCACCCCTCCCTGCCACTATCCCTGGCCTTAATTGAGGTCAGTACTCCTACACGCACCACAACTGGCAGCCCTAGGACCCTCGCCTCACCCTGTCTGGTTCTGGGCCTCACCTGGCGCTGCCCCCCAACTTCAGAGCCAGTTTTCCCAGGGGCTTGTCCAGCTCATCATGCACCAGGTAGACTTCCTCAGCAGTCAGTCCCAACAGCTCGGCTTGGCACAGGGAAACAGTGGGCCCGTGACTTCAGCATCGGCCTAGAGGGACCCTCTCTCCTCAGGGGCATAGGAGGGGCAGGAATAAACCCCACTTCCCATACAAAGAAACTGAGGCCCCTACAAGTACCCAAGGCATGCGGTATTTAGAGGTTAACAGAGAGGTCTGCCAATCTCTTTAACCTGAGCCCACACAGTGGCCCGCCCAACCCCGGTGCCCTCACTCACCTGCTCGAGCCACGCTGCGCCCGTTGGCGTTCATAAGCCGCCGCGGCCGGAGCAGGACCACCTGGGCATCCCCCAGTGGAGCTAAGGCGAGGTCCGCGGCGCAACGCCGGTCGCGCGCCCAACTCTCCGCTACACCCAGCCGCCGCGCCACCTGTCCCAGCACTGCCATGCCCACGCTGTGCCGCGTGCCCGGCAGTCCCGGGTTCCCCAGCCCGGCCACCTGCGGGCGGCACCAGGTAAAGTGAAATCGGCCACGTCTCCCCAGTCCCGATCTCACACGCCCTCTGGGACCCAAGGCGGAGGTGGAGAAACTGAGAGCAAGGGCCGGGGTGGGGAAGGGGAGCGAGGAAAGAGACCCCGACTCTTCCGGAGACAAGAGAAGGCTAGGTGGAAACTGTTGCCCCGCAGGCTGCATCGGCAGGGCGCTCGGATACAGAAGCTGAGTTTCTGAATAGTTTGGAGCCCGTCGTATTGGACCCATATTCCAGATTTAAACAAAATTAAAACAAGACAAGGAATTGGGAGACTTCGCACCAGAGAGAATGGCAGAATTGTAGCCTCAGGAGCTTCTACGTCACGGCATCCCAACTCCACTTACCAGCCACCTCTTCCCTGGGGGTCGAGGCTCCAAAACACACCAGCTCATAGCCCTACCCATCCACAGCCCAGCGAGTGAAAGGCCTGGAGGAGGCATGCTGTCTCCATTCACGTTCTCGAACCCGCCCTCTGACGTCCACCTTTTGCAGCCAATCGTGGCCACCATCTGTTCAGGGACGGCCTCCAGCGTCCAATCCGTGGCGGGACTAGGTGGCCGCCATGTTTCTGCGGGGCGGAAGCGGCTGGGCGGTGGCCGTGTTTGTGCGCCCTGGTACATCCCGGAGCGTGGCGTCACTGTGTTCCTGTGGGGTTTATTGTGAGATTCATAGAGCACATGTTTGACCTCCAGCGTGAGAGGCAGGAGCCTCATTATTGCCCTGCCTCTCTGTGGAAACCCGACAAGTCGTCTTCCCTTCTGTAGGCCTCGGCCCCGGGTGTAATAAAAGTTTTCTAACCTTCTGCCTCCAATAGTTCTTGCATCCCTGGGGGCGTGGCCAGAGAGGCGAAGCCCGTTGGCGTCTTGGAGATGGCACCTAGCAACGATTAAGGTGGGGTAAGCGCGAGGAGAGGGGACCGCCAGGAAGCTGGCGCTGTCCTGAGGTTGTCCTGGAAGGGACATGACTGACTCCAGCAAGGTGAAGGCTGGGAGAAGACTAAGCAGGGAAAGACGGCCAGGGTAGAAGAGAGAAAGGCTGGGTTCGCAGGGAAGGTTTTAAGTACAAGAGGTAGTATCAGCGGGTGATCCGGAATAGTCCGTGACTGCAGTGCAGAGAATGGTGGAGTTAGGGTGTGAGCCAGGGAGAGCTGGCCGGAGCAAGGGTTTCAGAAGAGATGGCATTGACCCAGATGAGGAGATTAGACCCGAGAAGAGGCGGGGTCTGAGGTTTTAGGAAGAGGAACAGACAGGATTTGAGGACTGAGGGCTCCTAAGGTCTCTGGGTCCAGGGCTGGGAAAGCCTGTAGTAGAAATTGGTGAGATGGTCAGTGTACGCCTGCTAGGGGTGAGGGTTCCACAGGGTATCTGAGGGGCTGCAGGACCACCTGTGGCTTGGGCTGGGCCTGAGATGGAGTGTCAGCAGCTGGAGGTGGGAGCTGAAGAGAATCAGGAGGTGACCAGAGGGTCAGTGTGAGCAGGAGGGCCTCACCCTGGCTTCAGGAAAGGGAGTGAGGCGGGACAGCAGAGGCTTGCCTGGGTGTGACAAGAGATAGGTTGAACCATCCCTAAGGGGAATGGTCCACCGGATCCCAGGTGGCGTGTCCTACCTGGTACCAGTTCGACACCACACCGTCCTCTAAAATACCTGGGGAGAGTGTGTGAGCAGGGTGCAGCTTGTTTGCCTCTGAGGTCTGCTCCAGCCTCTCTGTCCCTTGGTTTTAGGATGCCCTGGAACTGGACGAGGACCCTTTGCAGGACATCCTAAAGCCACGGGTGATTTCAGTGCCAAAAGATAGCCTGAAGCGCATCTTTGGGACCAGCCAGGTGTTCCAGGGCTTCAGTGAACCCAAACCAAAGGCCAAGGGCTTAACGGTGCCCCTCAAAGTCAGGGAGTAGTGAGTGACTACCCTGCCCCATGGTCCAGGTTCCTGACCTGCATAGCCTTGGGCTGTGCGGGCTTTGGACCCATTACTCTCCCTCTCTGGGCCTCGGTGAAATCACCTCTGTAATGGGCTTTTCTACTTCAACTGATAAAAGGCTGCTGGCTGGGGTTGACTCCCAGCCTGGCCTCCCTGGGTCTCTGCCTGTCCTTCCTGTGTCTCCACCCCAAACCCCTCCTCCCCATATGCCCTGGGCTCAATCAAAGTCAAGACCAGCCTCTCTGCCTGTGTTGCCCTTTCCTGACAGCTTCTTCCAAGGCCAGGCGTGCTTAGAGCAAGAAGACTGGGAGACGGCCGTGCTGCTCTTCTCCCGGGCCCTCCACCTGGATCCCAGGCTGGTGAGGGGCAGGGCCTGATGGGCACCCACAGGTGTGGGACGTAATTCCCGCCTCACTGTAGCACCTACCAGTGTTCCTCCTTTCAGAGCCACCAAGTCCCTGTCCCCCTCCCCTGAGGGACAGATCATGGAGAGGGGATAGCAGCCTGGGCCCCCTCACTCTCAGGTAGACTTCTATGCCTTGCGGGCCGAGGCCTACATCCAGCTCTGCGACTTCTCCTCTGCCGTCCAGAACTTGCGAAGGGCCTATTCCTTCGAGCCAGAGAACACCAAGTTCCAGGAGCGGCTCACCTTGGTGCTTCACCTGCAGGTGCCTGGAGCTGCCTCCCCCTCACAGCTGGGCCTCATGGCTCTCCCTCCATCCGTGTGTGGGGAGTGGTGGTGGGGGGAGCCCCGTTCACCTGGAACCAGCTCTCTTTCCCAGGGGACTTCCTCACCCCATGTCTGGGTCCCACCAGCTGAACTTTCTCACCACCTCCCGAGTTGGTTACACGCATGGCTGGGTAAAGTGTTGCCGTGTTGTCCAAGAGAGCTCTCTGTGATGATGGACATTATCTACTCTGCGCTGTCCCATATGGTGGCCACTGTTGTGTGCCATCGAGTCGATTCTGACTCATCACAACCCTATAGGGCAGAGTAGAAGTGCCCGACAGGGTTTCCTATGCTGTAATCTTTACGGGAGCACATCACCAAGGAGCAGCTGCTCAGTTCAAACCTTGGTTAGCAGCTGAGTGCTTAACCACTGTGCCACCAGTGCCCTTGATGGTAGCCACTAGCCACACAGACTGTTGAGCCCTTGAGACATGATGAGTGTGACTGAGGAACGGCATTTTAATTTTAACTAAATCAGCTGTAAGTCTATATTGTCATATGAAACTAGTGCCTGTCACACTGGACAGCCCAGATCCAGAGTCTAGAGGCCCGAAGTGCTGAAAAGGTTAACAATGCTCCCAATTTATGATTCAAAATAAAAACAATATTCAACTACAAAACAAAATGTATTTTCTTTCCGTTTTGACAATGTTAACATTTAACCTGTTGACATTTTAAAAAATATTAGCCATCCAGTTCTTAAAATAAATAAATAAAGCTGAGGGCCCTAACCACATGGTTAATCCATCCATGGGGGGGTCCTGAGTCCTGCACTGCTACTTCCTGTGTGACCTTGAGGAAGCACTTTACCTCTCTGAGCCTCAGATCCTTCATCTTAAACAGAGATAATAACTTGTACCAGTGAGACAGCGAGTACGACATTCTTCAGTACAATCCTCAGCACTAAGAGCGTCAGTCTAAGCTGGAGCCTGTTACTGTCTCTACTGTCCCGTTTCCCATTTTTCCTCTCAACTCCTTTCTTTCTATGTCTCTGTCTTGCTGTCTGTCTCCCATCAGCTGTGTGTTACTCACTGTCTCTCCCCAGCCCTGTATCTCTCCCTGTCTCTGTGTCTGTGTCCCTCCACTGTCTCTTGCCTCTCTCCCCTTCCTCCACAATGTTGTCCCTCAACTGGTGGTTGAAGCTGGGCTGAGGTCACAGGCAGAAGTGGCTGCCTCCTGTGTCCCCAGGGCCAGTGTCTGTTTGAGCAGTGTGCCTACCAGGACGCCCTGTTCATCTTCTCCCAAGCCTCTGAGCTCCAGCCCCAGGAACCGTGCTTCCGCTACCGATGGTGAGTGCCCAGCCGTGCCCCTCACTCTTCCTGGAAGCCCCTCCTGTCGCTCCTTCCCCAAGCTGACAGCACACTCCGCTGTCCACCCTCAGCATGGCCTGTCTCCTGGCCCTCGGTCGGCACCAGGACTGCCTCACACTGGTGACCAAGGAGCTGAAGCATGGCACAACCAATGCTGATGTCTACGTCCTCCGGGCCAGGCTCTACAACTTCTTCCACAAGGTAGTGCAGGGTGGGTGGGGTCACTGTGGCACCTTCACCCTAACCTGGGAGCCCCCGGGACCCCCTGAGATTATTGGAGGCTGTGAGGCCATCCACCAGTCCAGAGGTCAGATCCTCACGGTGTGATGGGACACTGCACCTTGTCTTGGGCAGGCGTCCCTAGCCAGTCCTGACCATTTGGCATCCACTTGGGCAGTTGTTCTAGCTTTCCTCAGCCCTGGCTCTGTGTCAGGCCTGTGCCGCCCGCTCTGCAGAAACCACAAGGGGAGAAAGAAGTGCATCCCTGCCCTCATGGAGCTCACAGCCCAGGGGAGGTTTCCCTGAGCAGACAGTTACACAAAGAATGATGCAACCTAATTGGCTCACCATATGGGGTCACTGTGTGGGACATACGCAGAGAGCCATCAGAAGAGGCGGGCATCTTCCTCCTTCCCCCCCTTCTCCCCTTCCTCTTCTTCCACCTCCCTCCTCTGCATACCACTTCCTCCTCTCTTTTCCCTCCCTCTCTCCCCCTCTTCCTCCTCTCCACTTTTCCCTCCCTCCTCCTCCAGTCTCTTCCTTCTCTTTCCACCTCCCCTCCCTCCCTTCCTTATCTGCTCATGTGAACACTTCCTAAATAACCCCACTGGCCAGGCCTGGGCTGGGCATGGGGACAGAGAGTACAGGGAACCACTTGAGGGGAGACTTGAGGCCAAAGAAGAGGAGGTCGGGAGAGTAGGCAAGAAGAAGGAGACTACCCCAGTCTTGTGAACCTGGGAACACCCTGAATTCTTTCCAGAGGCAGGGAAAGCCTTGAAAGAGTGCTTCTCAGGGCACACAGCGGGGGGAGCTTTAGAAAGACCCCTTGGCTGCTGTGGAGAGTGTGGGTTGGACAGGGAAAGATAGGAGGTCAGGAGTCTGGGAGGAGGCCGGGCAGCAGGAGGAGTCCAGAAGAAAAGGAGGAGGTTGGGCGGGGAGAATGGCTGTGAGGGTAGCAACAGGGGACAAGGTTCACAGTCCTTTAGAAGTCAGGACCAGATACAACTGGATGTGAACGTGAGGGAGAGGGTGGCATGGAAAACAACACTCAATTTACTGGCCTGGCCTGGGTAGGTGGGAAGCTGGGAGACTCAGGAGAGGGCCGAACAGGTGTGGTCCCACTGGGTGGCGTCCACTCAGTTCTCCAGCTGGGAAGCATCTCATGGGCGTGGGAGAGTGACCCTGTAATTCCAGAGGGAGGAGTCCACTGCCCCTCGGGAGTGGCCCCAGGTGCATGGTCCACCCAGGTGCCACCTCCAGATGCTGAGAGGCTGGGCTTCTGTGTCCCACAAGTGACTCAAAGGGAGTCTCCTTCAAAAGTATGACACTAATAATTATTGATAATTACTGTTGACTATAGGAGCTCTGGTGGCGTAATGCCTAAGGCATTCGACTGCTAACCAGAAGGCTGGCCGTTCAAACCCACTAGCCACTTCTCGGAAGGAAGGTTGGGCAATCTACTTCCATAGTGATACTGCCTCGGCAACCCAAGGAGGGGTCGCTATGGGTGAGGTCCAACTCGACGGCAATGAAAGATGTGACTTCAAATCAGACAAAAATACTGCACTGGGCAATCTGCTGCAAAAGGCCTCTTTAAAGTGCTGCAGAGCAAAGATGTCTCTTTGAAGGCTAAGGTGTGCCTAAGCCAAGCCATGATGTTTTTAATTGCCTTGGATGCATGTGAAAGCTGGACAGTGAACAAGGAAGACTGAAGAAGAGTTGATGCTTTTGAGTTGTGGTGTTGGCAAAGCATCTGGAAGTACCATGAACTGTCAGAAGAACGAACAATCTATCCTGGATGAAGTGCAGCCAGAATGCTTCTTGGAAGCGAGAATGGCCAGACTTTGTCTCACCTGCTTTGTTCTTGTTGTCAGAAGGGGCCATTCTCTGGAGAAGGATATCATGCTTGGTAAAGTGGAGGGTCAGTGAAAAAGGGGAAGGCCCTCAACGAGATGGACTGACCCAGTGGCTGCAATGATGGGCTCAGGCACAGCAAGGACTGTGAGGCTGGCACAGGACCGGGCAGAGTTTTGTTCTGTTGTCCATAGGGTCACTGTGAGTCGGAGCTGACTCGATGGCACCTAACAACAACGATTTGGACTTCAAGGAGGCCTGATAGCCTAGTGGTTAAGTGCTTGGCTGCTAACCAAAAGGTCGGCAGTTCAAACCCATCAGTTGCTTGTTAGGAGAAAGATGTGGTAGTCTGCTTCAGTCAAGATTATAGCCTTGGAAACCCTATGGGGCAGTTCTGTTGTTGTTGTTGTTGTTGTTTGCCATCGAGTCGGCCCCGACTCATAGCAACCCCTCCTTGGGTTTCCGAGGCAGTATCACTACGGAAGTAGGATTGACCAACCTTCCTTCCGAGGAGTGGCTGGTGGGTCATTATGAGTTAGAATTGTCTTGATGATAATGAATTTTTGGTTGTGACTTTAACTGCCCCTTGTGAGCCTTTAGGAGCTCAGTGGTGCTGTGGTTAAGCCATCGGGCTGCTAACCAAAAGGCTGACGGTGAGAACCCACCAGCTACTCCATGGGAGAAAGATGAGCTAGTCTTCTTCCGTGATGATGTACAGCCTTGGAAACCCTATGGGGCCATTCTACTCTGTCCTATAGGGTCACTAAGAGTCAGAATTGACTCAATGGCAGTGGGTTTGATTGGTTTGGCTTGGGAGCCCCTGCAATGTGTCCTAAGCACTTTACCATGTTTATCTTGAAGGCTCACAGTAGCTCTTTGAGGTAGATATGACCCAAATGACCCATCGTTCTCCTCACAGATGAGGAAACAGGCCCAGAGGGGCTGGATGGTTTGCCGATGGTCACACAGTCAGTTTGTGGTGGTGCTGGCCTTGATACTCTGAAGCCCAGCTCTCAGGCTCTCCCCTCTCCTGATTTCCGTTCACATCTAATGTCCACACTCTTTCTGCTCACTCTCCATCTGATTACCTATGGGATACAGAGCGGTTTCTAAAACTGTTGACAGACTGACCTGCACACCAGGGAGAGGTGTTTGCCTGGGAATGTTTTCATGATCTGTTCTTGGTCAGAGTTGCTTTGAACTCAAAGGTCAGGCTAGAGGGGAAGGATAGTGAGGACACAGTTGTCCAGTCAGGAGGACTGTCCTCCCACCTCAAGTGAGCCTCACAGAGTCCTCTGAGGAGGCAGCATCTGCAACCCCATCCTGTGGCAGCAATGACCAAGGCTTAGCCGGGACCTGGCTCACCTGAGGTCATATCTGGGATGAGGCCAGCAGATAGAGGGATTTTCCCACAGTGCTCCCCTGCCCCCTTCAAGAGGCAGAAAAGGTGCAACAGTGATGCGGGGGCACTGAGAGGGGTGGTGTGGTGCCTGCCTGCCTGGAGAGAAGTACCTGCAGTCCTGGATCCAGACCTTCCCCCAGCACCACTGATAGCACCCCGCCCCCACCCCACAGCCTACCCTCTGTTACCGGGACTTGCACAGCACCTTGCTTCTGGAGCCCAAGCATCCCCAGGCCAAGCTGCTCCTCAAGACCATGGTGAACCAGGCCCAACAGGCTCGCCAAAGTGCAGAGATCCTTGCCGTTCAGGGCAACATGCAGCATGCACTGACGTGCATCAACTGCGCCATCGAGAACAACCCTCTGGACCCCAGCCTCTTCCTCTTCCGGTACTGGGTAGGGAGGACTGGTCTTGGCTTGCAGGCTCTCAGGAGAGTCCCTGACCTTCCCTGGGGCTCTGTTTCCCCATAGACTCTAGTAATCCCGTCCTACTTCTCACAGAGTTTGAGGCATCATAGGAGGTGGTCTCTGCTACCTTCCCTGGAGGAAGGACAGACAGCAACCTCCCAGTTAACCAGGAATCTAGAACCCCAGGCCTGCTGAGCCCCTGGAAGGATCAGTCCAGCTCAGTGGACAAGGCTGGGGTTTGAATTCCAGCCCTTCAAGGGTCTCACTATGTGATTTGGGGCAATTTAACCTCTTTGAACCTGGTTTTTTTCATCTAAACAATGAGGGTAAAAACATCTGCCCATGTATATAAAGGCCTTAGCTTAGAGGTGGGCACACACGTGGCTCCCACAAAGAAAGAGGAAGGCCTTTTTCTTCTTTTTTTAATATTTTTATTGTGATTTGGGTGAAAGTTTACAGAACAAATTCATTTGCCATCCAGCAGTTCATACACATTTTATTTCATGACATTGACTGCAATTCCCCACGAGGTAACAGCTCTCTTCCCACTTCCTCCCTGTAGTAACCTCTTCCCTGTGTCCTTCCCTGAGGGAGGCCATTTTTTAAAAACATAAGATTACCAGTGATGGCAGGTTATGTGGGAACCAAGCCAGAGCCAGCCACACAGGCTCAATCTCTAGGTCATGAGGCAGGTTCCCTGACCACCACCACCACCACCACCACCACCACCACCACCACAGGTCAGAAGGAGAAACTGAGCCCTGCAGGCAGCAACTTGCCCGGCCCCTCAGCTGGTCATTAGAGTGCCCTGGGCCCTGATGTCCCTTCCCCTGCCTCACGCCCAGGGGCACCTTGTACCGCCGGCTTCAGGAGTTTGACGTCGCTGTGGAAGACTTCCTGAAGGCACTGGACATGGTGCCCGAGAGCCAGGAGGACATGGTGCAACAGGTGCAGCGCCAGCTGCTGCTGGCTTACAACGACTTTGCTGTGCACTGCTACATGCAGGGCGCCTACCAGGAGAGCTTGCTGCTGCTCAGCAAGGCCCTCAAGGATGAGCAGCAGGAGAAGGGCCTCTATATCAACCGGGGCGGTGAGTGGGGGCTGAGCCAGGGGCAGGTGAACCCCCTTTGCTAAGGCCCAGGCTTGGCACTCAAGGCCCCCTGGGTCCAACTGTTCCTCTGGCCTCCTCTCCCGCTGCTCCCTTTCATGACCTCACAAAATCCACTCCATCCTCCAGCCTTGGCCAAGGCTGCATCTCTCTGAGAAGCCCTCCTCCCCCTCGGCCTTCCACAACCTCGTCCTCTTTCCCTCTGTCCCGTCCTCCTTGCTGTGCGCCACATTGACCCCTCGCCTGTGTCCTTGCTACACTCACACTGTCACCTCTGGTCAAAACTCTTCCTCCTCCCCCAACTTACTCACAGGCCACAAGCTCCCTCCTACCCTGGTTCCAGCACAAAGCCACTTCCTTGGGGAAGCCCTCCCTGCTGCCTCCTGCCCCCTGACCTAAAGCACACACCTTGTCGGTTTCCTTTGGTGCACTTACCTCATTGTAATTGTGGGGCTCTGGGGGTGATTATTGCTTTAATGTTTCTCTCCCCTACTAAGTGATGAAATTCTTGGGGTTGGGGTTGGGCTCCCAGCTGGGCCCCAGCACCCTCACTGAGTGTTGTCAAAAGAAGGAAGAAAGGAAGGAGGAAGGAAGGAAGGGAGAGAAGAAGAAAAAAAAGAGGAAACAGTTGATACGCTCAGTGTCCCAGGGACACAATTTAGGAAATATTGCCATAGACAGACTGGCCACAGTCTTCTGAAAATGCTCTTAATCGGACAGAGGGAAAAGGTGTCCAGATGCACAGACAACTTGGAGAGGCCCTGGACTGCCCATGGGTGTTACCAGCCACCATTTCAGACCCTGAACCACCCTCCCTGGGAGTGGTGTTCTTGGGCACTTGGAAGTTGGGGGTCACTCAGTCCTCGACCCCGGACTCCAGATTGTTTCTTCCAGCTGGGCAACCTGGCCTTTGCTGAGGCGGATTATCAGCAGGCGCTGGCGCTGAGCCCGCAGGACCAGGGTGCCAACTTGCGCATGAGCCTGCTGCAGGAGAAGATGGGCTTCTGCGAGCAGAAACGAAGGTGAGGCAGGGGCGGGGCTTGGAGAAGGGCAGGACTGAGAGGAGGGCGGGGCCTGGCATGACGACCTCGGCTGAGATCCCTGGACCGAAGTGCTCTGCTCTCCTAGTTGTTGTTGCTGTTGTTATATGCCGTTGAGTCGGACCGACTCATAGCGACCCCTCCTTGGGTTTCCGAGGCAGTATCACTACGGAAGTAGACTGCCCAACCTTCCTTCTGAGGAGTGGCTGGTGAGTTTGAACCGCCAGTCTTCTGGTTAGCAGTCAAGTGCCTTAGGCACTACGCTACGTGTCCTAAATATTGATTTTCTTCCCCAAGCTTAGTAAAAATCTTTCCCTCTTTTTTTCTGATGATTATAGTAATGCATGCTTTCATAAAAAAAATAAGTGTTCGGTACTATGAAACTTGGAAGGTGAAAGTTTTTTCTCCAGTTCCCCTTAAGTTTGGTAGATTCCTCCAGTCTTTTCCCTGTGCATATATATTAACAACTTATCATTTTACAAAAGTGAGATCATGCTCAACTGTTCTTTGCTCAACTTTCCAGAGCGCTGCGCATGGGATTACTTCATTCTCTTATTTTTTGCATTCTGTGGAAGTATCACGATTGATTTCTTCAGATGATCATCTGTTTAGGAATATGTGGGCTGTTTCCAGTTTTTGTTATAAATGATGTAACGGGCCTCCAGGATGTACACTCTCATGCATGCACTCTAGTAATGCTGTTGGTTAGATTGCTGGAAGCAAAACTGTTGCATTAACGCGTGTTAACATTTTAATAGATAATACCAAATTGTTCCCCTATAACAGTGCACCCTTATAAACTTTCCTCTGGAGAGGAAAACCTCAATTTCCCCAACACTGTGTGGGATATTAGAAATCTTAGAAAATTAGTAAAGAGATACTCAGGTTTGACATACAAAAATTCTTTTAGTTTATTACAAAGTAGTGTTGAAATCGACTCAATGGCGGTGAGTTTTGGTTTTTGGTTAGTCGTGGCAAGGCATGCAAATAAGACCTCACAATAGTCATTGGAACTGGAGACTCAGAATTAACAACTACAGTGTTAGTTTGGTGATTAGAGTTCAGACCTTTAGACTTCAATTTTTTGCCTTTAACCAGAGGAGGTCTCTGGCTGGAGGAAGGGAGAAGGAAGCTTAACCATAGCTCAAACTCACTGGAGGTCCCCTGTCAAACGTTGGCAGTTCAGACAGAATCACAGTCCCACTGCTGCCTTCTCCCAGAGAGTGAACAGAAATTTAGGGTGTATATGTGAGTTTCTCACCTTGGCTTCACTCAAGCGCCAGTGAGACGGCAAAGACTAGTGTGTTATGTCTTTTCTCCAGGGTTAGAGAGCAGCCAAAGGACACAGCATCTTCTCTTCCAGGTTGGAGATTAATGAGGTTATGTAGATTGATGTTATGTTTTCTTGTGTCACAGTAGGCTGGGTCAAGGTGAACCCAAGGTTGATTACATTTTTTACATACTTCACATCCTTCCACGCCTAAGTTCAGAAATGTTCTAAATAATTTTCTTATGACTTACAGGTTTCTAATGACACAGTTAATGCTAGAGTCTCACAAAGGTAGATATATTTCTAAGTTCATATTATGAGTGCTTATGCATATGTATTTGGAAAGTATAATAGTGATTCATATCTAATAGGATTTTATATCACTGCAGAAACATACAGAACCCGAAATCTCCCCAACATAGGGTGTTATAACTATTTTCCAACCCTGCTAACCTTGTGGGCAAAAAAAAAATGCTGTCTCGGTCGACTTAATTTGCACGTTTAAATTGTTAATATGGCCCAGCGTCTTTCACGTGTTTTTTGGCCACTATGGCCTGCCCAAGGAGCGCTGGTGGCATTTGGTTAAAGTACTCGGTTGCAAATTGAAGGTCGATGGTTTGAACCCACCAGTTGCTCCATGGGAGAAAGATGTGGCAGTCTGCTTCTGTAAAGATTACAGCCTTGGAAACCCTATGAGGTAGTTCTACCTTGTTCAATAGGGTCACTATGAGTCCAACTCAGACCGCAATGGCATTGGGTTTGGTTTCTGGCCTCCCAAAATCTTTTGCTCACTTTGTTACTGAGTTGCTCATTAAAGAAAAAAAAGGGGGGCTGTTATAAGAGTTCTTTTTGGGCTAGGAAAATTAGCCTATTGTCTGCTGCTGTTATCGTTGTTTTTTTAAAAAAAACAAAAACAAACTCACTGTCATTGAGTTGGTTCCAACTCATCGCAACCCCCGTTGGGTTTCCAAAGTGGTAAATATTTATAGAAGTAGATTGCCCCATCTTCTTTCCATAGAGCAGCTGGTGGGTTTGAACTCCCAACTTTCTGGTTAGCAGTCAAATGCCTTAGGCATTGTGCCACCAGCACTCCTTGTTATTGTTAAGTGTCATCAAGTTAGTTCTGACTCAAAGCAACCCTGTGTACAATAGAATGAAACACTGCCCAGTCCTGCTTCATCCTCACAATCCTTGCTATGCTTGAACCCGTCGTTACTGTCAATCCATTTCATTGAGGGTCTGCTATTTATGACAAAATATCTTTTCTCTCTTTATTGCTTTTCTTTGGGGTGTTTTTGCTAGTCAATAACCTGGAATTTGTAGTCAAATTATTAACTTTTTTTCATTTTCAGTTGCTGGGTTTATGACATTCTCAGAAAGGCCTTCCCAACCCCAAGATCATAAAAATAATCCCTAATGTTGTAGTTTCCTTCCAGCAGTTAAGTGCTGGGCCCATTGAGAGTACAGTGCAGGTGCCAGGAGAGCAGTAGGCATGGCGGAGAAGGGGGAGCAGGGACCAGCCTGGTTTTCCCAAAACCTCCCAGAAGCACCCCCCCCCCCAGGTAGACCAGTTTGTGGCAGCCTGAGGCCCATTGTGTTCTGCAGGCAGTTCCACAAAGCGGAGAACCACTTCTCATTGGCCATCCAGCACAACCCCCAGAAGGCTCGCTACTACCTGCAGAGGGCCAAGAACCGCCAGCTGCTGCAGAACTCGTTTGGGGCCCGCCAGGATGTCGCCACCGTGCTGCTTCTTGAACCTGAACAACCACAGGTAGGTTCCTGAGGGGCCAGGAGGGTGGACTCCATCTAAAGAGACTCTTTGTCCCTAAAAAAAAAAAACTAGTCTGATGATTATAATAAGAGCGACTATTGCTTGAACATTTGCCGTGTGCCAGACACTGGTCTAGCCATTTCAACTTGTAACACCTCATTTAATCCTCCTCACCACCCAAAAGATAGGTGATACTTTTTATTATCACCAGCAATTTAAAGATGAGGAAAGTAAGGCTCAGAGAAGTCAGTTCCCTTGCTTCAGGTCACAAAGTTTAGAGTTCAAATCCTCATCTGTCTGGCTTCAGAACCTATGGTTGGATTCACCCTCAAAGCTCCTCCTGGAATGGTTCCTTTCCCATGGTCTCCTGCTAGTTCTGGGGCAAGAGGGGCCAGCCCTTTAAATAAACAATTTGCAAAACCCCTCCCCCTTTAGCCCTGAGAAGGGTCAGACAGGAATCTCGGAGGGTGGGCAGCACCACACCAGCTGGCCCCTGCCCATACCTGGCTCCGGACCACCCCCTTTCCTGGCAGTTGCTCCCGCTGATGACCAGCCTCTTCCCGGGCATGTCGGTAGATGATGTGCTTAATAGCCAGGTGGCCCACCTGGCCAGGCTGCAGTTGGAGCGGGCTGTGGAGAGCAATATGCAGTTCAGCATCCCGAAAGGCATTGTGGGGTAAGCTCCCTGGGCAGCGGCCATAGGCCAGGGGTGGGAACCAGCTGGGGCCTGAGGTTCCTCTGGCCCTGCTGCTTCCTTGGGCCACTGTCCAATCCCTGAGGACGGTGGCTGAGGACGGTGGGATGATTCAGGGAGACTGAGCTGGCACTCTGGGCCGTGGCATGGTAGGTTGCTCAGGAAGCGAGAATTAGAGCGCCAGAAGGCCCGCGCCCTACAGCACGAATGGAAACTGGAGCAGCCTTCCTCTGAAGAGCTTAAGGCCCCCTACCAGGCCCTGCAGGAAGGCCCAGAGGAGGAAGCTGTGGCCCCAGAGAAGGAGAAGGAAAAGGTGAGCGGCCACGTGCCCTAGAGGCCCAGGGCGGAATGGACTTGGGCCCAGGGCTGAGGTATGCAGGCTAAGTAGAGGCTAGCTTCCAGGCCCAGTTTCTGCCCCCTCTCAGATGTGACTTGGGCTGAGGACATCTTGCTGTGAGACGGGGATGGAAAAATCATGGGGTGCCCTGGGGGGAGTGTCACAAGGAGGTGAGCACCTCCTAGAGAAAGGGCTTCCCACTTACTGCCCACAGTTACCTTTGCACCATCTGCTGTGCGCCCTGGCCACTTGTGCCAGAATTTCCTTCTTAAATTCATTTCTAAAAGTTTTTGTTGACTGTCACATAAATCAGAAATGTGCATAAATTCTAAGTGCTTAGCTCAATGAAGTTCCATAAAATGAATGGGGATGGCTCTGCATCCAGATCAAGGAAGGGCACATTCCCAGAGAATCCCCTGTGCCCCCTGTAGACCCCTCCCCCATCTGGCCCCACCCCACAAGGCTAATCACTGCCCTGATTACTAACTGCACACCAGTTTTGCCTGTTCTTCACACAAATGGACACAATGTCACAATGTACCCTTTTGTCCCTGGCTCCTTCCACCAAACATTATGTTTGTGGGTTGCATCCAAGTTGTTGCATGTAGCAACAGATTGCTCGTGCAACAGGAATATTCTCCTTGCTGCAGAATATTCCATTGTGCTACTGTCCCACAATTTATTTATCCATTGTCCTGCTAATAACAGCAAGTAAACTTATGTTAAAAAAAAAAAAAAAAAACACTTTACATAACATGAAATGAATGGAATATCCTAGCTGTACCTTTTTCTAGTTCACATTAGAATGGACACACAATTCTAAGTCTTTCATCGCTGTACCCCCTGAAATCATTATGGGCCCCCTCACTCAAGGAGCTGTTGAGGGGAAGCATAGAGAACCCAGAAGGCAGGGCCCAACATGGAGTGGGCGCCTGGTGCATGTGATCGCTCACAGCACTGCCCGTTCGGCCCCTCTGGCTCCTGCACGTGCCTCCCTGCTCCACGTGTGAGACCAGGAAGGAGACTAGTGGCCCGGAGTGTGGCTGGAGCCCAGCAGACCTGGGTTCAAATCTCCACTTCTCTACTTCTTAGCTAAGTGGCCTTGGGCAAGTTGCTTCAGCAAAGCTCAGAGCCTGGGCTTCCTGATCTGTGAACCTACTGCAGCAGCTGTAGTTCCCTCCCAGATGTGCTGGATAAAATGGGAGAAGGCATGTAGATCTCCAATTTCTCACTAACCGTTCACCAGGACACAGCACTTCACAGTTTATATAAGCCTACCTACACTTGGTGAGAGGAGCTCTGGTAGCATAGTGCCTAAGGCACTTGATGACTGCTCACCAGAAGGCTGGTGATTCAAACCCACCAGCCACTCCTCGGGAGGAAGGTTGGGCAATCTACTTCCCTAGTGATACTGCCTTGGAAACCCAAGGAGGGGTCGTCACTATGAGTCAGGTCTGACTCGAGGGTACATAATAACAACAAAAAACACTTGGTGAATGGGTTGGGGCTCCGATTTTCATTTTGTAGGTAGGGAAACTAAAGCCCAACCAGCCCCTTGAACCATGCCTGTTTAGCCTGGCCACTTTGCTTCCTCTCCATGTCCCCATACAACCCTAACCCTTGAGAGGAACTCCAAGCTTAAAGAATGACTGTGAAGGGCCTCAGGGCCTCTGGCCCTCCAGAGCTGTGACCACTGGCCCAGGGATCTCCCAGTGCCTGTACTCCCTAACCTGTCTCTTGCCACAGGAGGAGGAAACTGAACACACCTCCGACAAGGAGATGTCCCTGTCCAGCAGCTACGTGGATCTGACCTCCTCAGGATCCATCTTGGGCTGTAAGTCCCCAGTACTTCTCCCAGGCCAGAGTGAGCCAAAGCAGCAGAGTAGGGAAAGGTGAGGGGTCAGAGACTCTGACCTGGATATGAATCTGGGCTCTGCTGCTTATAGCTGTGTGACCTCGGGCAGTGAGTAAAAATCCCAGCTCTGAGGTATTGTGGTGAGGACTCAGTGAGCCTGGGATGCCAAGCCCCTCCTACAAAGGATTCCACCGAGGCTGTTGGCCCCATCCTTCTCCATTCCTGCCTCAGGCCTGTCCTTGACATAAGCCCACAAACCCCGTGTATGTTCAAGGCACTTTTACCCTCAATTCAGCTGGGCACCAGCCTGGAGGGGACAAATATGTAAAACTCAGGAATGTTGCTCCAGAGTTCTAAGTGTTGATGTGAGCAGTTCATGGTAGGGACAAAAATGACAGTGCCCTTAGCCTCCTTCCTTCCATTCAGTTCCACAAATTTAGTGAGTGCTGCTGGCCAGGCCCGTGTCAGTCACTGGCTACAGGGACAAATGGCACAGGCCTTACCTTGGAGGAGCTCTTGGTGCTAGAGCGGGAGGGACTCAGGTCAGAGGACAGCCACACTACAGCACAGACATCCAGCGAGAGGGCAGTGGAGGGGGCTGCAAGTACATGAACTTCCATTTGCGGAGGTCAAGGAGGGCCAGCACCTGAAGGAAGTGTAGGGGTCAGCCAGATGTGGGAAGGGGTAGGGCGAGGGAGACTGTTGCAGGCAGGGAATCCAGAACCTGTGGGCTGTTGGTTGTGGCTGGAGCACAGAGGGTAAGGAGCAGCCCGAAGTGTGGGGCCTAGGTCCTGGGTGGTGGGGCCTGCATCCCTTGTGTGTCTTCTCCTCCTTATCTTACAGCCCTAACCTACCTGCAGGCTCCAGTTGTCCAGGGAGGGCTGGGCTGGTGTGTTCTTGTAGGACTTCCCCTTTGCTCATCCAAAACCTCAGAGGAGGGGAAAGGGGGTAAGCCACGCTGAGGGGCCCAGATGCCCCCTTTTCCTGGAGCTGTCCAGGGGAAGTCAGGCAGCCCATGAACTCTGGACGAGTCCTGAAGGTACTCTTGTCACACCCTCTCCAGTCATAGTTACGTCCATCTCAGAGACAGAGACATCCACTAATTCCCAGGGGTACAGGAGCAGTTCGACCGCTGCTGTGACATCCTCTGATTCCTCACTGCTGAAGATTCAGTCCTCAGACTCTGGGACCAATGGGGAGGACTCAAGTCTGAGCCAGAGTCCTAGCAAGACCGAGGACACCCAGGGTCCAAGGCGGAGGCCCACCGAGACCGAGGACACCCAGGGCCCAAGGCGGAGGTCCACCAAGACCGAGGACACCCAGGGCCGAAGAGTGAGGTCCAGCGGGACCGAGGACACCCAGGGCCCAAGGCGGAGGTCCAGCGAGACCGAGGACACCCAGGGCCCAAGGCGGAGGTCCA